TAAGGTTTTCCTGATCATATGGAAAGCTACAATTGCTCCTTAAGTAGTCTCCAATTCACAAATATTTCACCAAGATTAAGCCACATCTTTTCAGTGTCAGGTTTTGTAATGCCCTCAGTCCTACTCAGTGCATGTCCTGAGGTGATCAAATATACCAGGTTACTGCTACTAACCTGTAAATGGTGGGAGTATTTTACTCAATCATCTTATCTCCTATGGCATTAAACGCCAGCTGCACACATGGCACTCACATTCAGCCACACTTTCTACATGTGGCAATTACCTGCACTGATAATCAGCCGCTTAATGAATATAATATATGAAACTAATTAAACTAATTTCCAAGGATTCCAGTAAAAGAAAAATTCCCTTTTCACACAAGGGAACCCAAGTTTAGTTCTGCCGCTCTTTCCTTAGAAAATGCAACAACTGCCATTAGGTTTTATGTATGTCATTTGCTTCATTTGTCACACAGTTCCAATTACACATGTTTTAAATGTCTCCAGCTCCCTCTCAGAGTTTCACATGAGGTGGGAAAGTTAAAGAGAGAAGCTTCAGTTTCATTTATATCTCTTGCTTTTATTGATCATTGGTGTGCAATTAAACAGAGGTAAACAAAAAGAATGTAGCAGCAGACCTCTGCAAAGATCAACAGTCCCCAAGGCTCAAATTATTGATTTAATTAAAGCAATTAATAAATCCTTTTAAATACTATTTTCACACGTGCTACCTATAGGTTATCTCTAAAAGCAAATTTAACAGCAGTGTGAAAAATGTGGGGTTTTATGGAAAGTTTATCACACAACCCCTTCCCCACAAACTTCTGTTCCTTGTCCTCACCTCTGACATCTCCCAATTCTGCCCCTGTGCAGATTACTTGAACACATATTTTCAAATATTTATATTTTAAAGGTGAACAAGCTGAGGGATGGGTTAAAGATCTGAAATACATGGCGTGTTCATGCCTAATTCCACATTAACAACATTTATTTACTCCAACTTTGCAGAGGAATTCTGGCTGGGCCTGAACAAGACCTATTCCATCACTAAACAAGGAGATTACATCCTACGGATTGAGCTGCAGGACTGGAAAGGAAACAAACGTCACATCGAGTACTTGTTCAGCCTGGGAGGCCCCGACACCAACTACACCCTCCAGCTTTCCCGGATCTCCGGGAGCATTCCCAACGCCCTCCCAGAGCAGACAGAGCTGCAGTTCTCGACTGCAGACCGGGATGTGGACACAAAACATGACTCCAACTGCCCAGAAAACTTCCTAGGTATCAGTATGCTGGGAATATTAATATAGGAATTGTTCTGTTGCACGAATCATAGGATCATGGAATCCTGCAATGGTTTGGGTTGGAAGGGACCTTGAAGTTCACCTAATCCACACCCCTGCCATGGGAAGGGACACCTTCCACTAGCCCAGGTTGCTCCAAGCATCGTCCAACCTGGCCTTGGACACTTCCAGGGATGGGGCAGCCACAGCTTCTCTGGGCAATCTGTGCCAGGGCCTCGCCACCCTCAGAGGGAAGAAATTCTTCCCACAATCCCATCTAATCCTGCCCTCCTGGGTAAATGACCAACATCAGAAACAGAACAGGCAGCCAGCACAGGCTGAAATAAACCCCCAGGATGAGATTCTGAGCTATGAAGCCAGTGGCAGTCCCTGCTCTGATGCTTGGTCTGGTGTGGAAGCTCTAGGTGGGATTGTTTAATCCCTTCTTGCAAAAAAACACAGAAGACAAACTGACTCTTAACTCCATTTTAACTACAACCCAAAAGCTAAGAATGACAGTGAGGTTCCATTTAAATGCAGATTTTAGTTGTTTGTCAAGTATACATAATATAATCACTTTCAAAAGAGCAAGAGATGCAAGGCTGAGGTCATTTCTCCCTAGAGATAATTTGGTTAAAAGGTTCTTAATGCTTTGATTTTCTAGAGCTTTTATGTTTGTCAGTTTATAGCAAAAAACAAACAAGTGAAAAAACAATTAAATGATTAAACCACAGGACACAGAATTGCCCTCCAGGTACCTGCTTCATGCAACAAACATTTTGTACATCCTCCTAGGCTTGAAAATTGTGAATGTTTGAAAGAATGCCCAGAGTGTCACTCAGCTCTTGGGTTAAGTTTTGGGTCCCCAGCAAGGGACCCAAGAAAGACACTCGAGGGGCTGGAGCATGTCCAGAGAAGGGAGCAGAGCTGGGGAAGGGGCTGGAGCACCAGGAGCGGCTGAGGGAGCTGGGGGGGCTCAGCCTGGAGAAAAGAAGGCTCAGGGGGGACCTTCTCTCTCTGCAACTCCCTGACAGGAGGGTGGAGCCAGGGGGGATCAGGTTCTGCTCCCAGGGAACAAGGGACAGGACAAGGGGAAACGGCCTCAAGTTACACCAGGAGAGACTTAGATTGATATGAGGGAAAATTCCTTCATGGAAAGGACTATCCAGCTGTGGCACAGCTGGCAGGGCAGTGGTGGGAGCCCCATCCCTGGAGAGATTTAAAAGGCATGTGGATGTGGCATGTGGGGACAGGGGTTAGTGGTGGCCTTGGCAGTGCTGGGGGTATGGCTGGAATCAGTGACTTTAGAGGACTTTCCCAACCTGAATGGTTCTACCATTTGGGTATCCTGGGTAATTGTCAATTTTAGAGTGTAAAGCAGATTATGCTGCAAACAGGAGCTGTTCCTCAAATGGAGCAGTGTGTCAGAGTACAAGTGGCAGTAACTCACATTCCCATGTTGTTCCTTAGGAGGCTGGTGGCACAGTGAGTGTGAGGAAACCAACCTGAACGGCAAATACGTCACGCCAAGGTCCAGGGCAAGACTAGACAGAAGAAAAGGCCTGTACTGGAAGCCTAAGAAAGGAAGATACTACTTGCTCAAGTCAACTAAAATAATGATACACCCAACAGATTTAAAAAGCTTTGACTGAGGGCTCGACCTGATGCCTTTTAATTCAGAACATACTCACTGAACTTCACCACATCAAAGGACTCCATGTTTTGTTTACTAACAAATGCCTGTCTCAATCCATACCCTGTATGGAGTCTTCTCCAATACATAAACCTGAGGCATCTGAGATGGTCTTACAGTACATTTGGTGAGTATTTTTATTGCCTCAAGCCTCAATGTCAACGTGGAGCTTCTACCTCCCCAGGATGAATTCTAATGCTTAGGAGTCAACCACCTACTCATGTACTGGATAACATTGCTTGGGGGAATGGATTTTCAGGCTGTTGCATTTGGTTTTGGGTTGTGTAGTAGGGAAAACAAAAGTGTTTCAGGAAACAAAGTGCAGGCACAATGGTATGGAAAAACATTTAGGTGTTAATTTATAGGGGAAAAAAAAGAAATTTTGTTTCTTCAAGTAACTAATTTGATGTTCGGTTCATTTGACTGTTGTGGAATGTTTCTGTGAGCAAATGGAAGATGGGTAATTCCCTGTTGCTGGGCTCTGTGTACTTCCAGGCAAGTTTTCAGCAGTGTAGCTGAGGCCAATCATCTCTGGAGCACTGTACTCACACGGTTACAGGTGTGTGCACACACTTCAGTGAGCCACAGCACAGACCTGATCTTTTAGATACCACACTGAAAAATAACTTCACAACTATGGTTTGTTAAGAACTAAACTTCAAAGCTTACTGAAATGAGTAAGAGATCTGTTCTTCTCATGTGAAATGAATCAGAGCCAACCCTTTGTGACTTCTTAGTACAACCAACTAAGAAACGAAATGAAAGACCAAGTGAGAACACAACAAAACGCCTTTCAAACAGAGAACAGCTGCCTGTGGGGCAACTTCAACGGGGCCAGTGGTACCAACCCACAAACCCTGTAGGCACAGCCCACGTGACAGTGCTGGTCCAGCTCCTGAGGACATTCCCATGTTCAACTTCAGCTGCAGGACACTCTAAGGATCACTGCCACACTTGGGGCTGGCTGGCCCTGGAAGTGCTGAGGGATCCAGCCCCCAATTCTGCAGTTACAGTGAGTCATATTGACTTGTTTATCTCACCCAACTCTTGTACAGTACAGATTTTTTATCTCAACATTTGCAACCACACAGAAAATGGGTTTAAATTGTAAATTTTCCAGAGCAAATCAACTGTGAACACAATGTGCTAATTACAGAAACACTGTAAAGAATACTTTTACTTCTCATGCATTTATTATAAAGAAGAGATCAAGCAGTGCTGCTTATTTGTACTGGTGTATTGTAACGTTTAATTACCTGCCCAATAAATAAATAAATAAATAAATAGAACTTTTCAAAAGACACAATATGGAACTTGACTAAACTCTTCTTATAAGCTTTGGTTTATAAAAATTTGGATTGTATCTAAATTTTACAAAAAGAAATAATGGATTTGCTAAGTTGGTGAAACTACTCAGCTGAAATTACTCAGACATGTAATGTCTTCAAAGATACTGTGAAAAAGCTTTAAATCAACAGTGAACAGAAATCTGCTCCCTGTCTGGTCTTAGTTATAGAAAGACTGTTGTTTTTCAAGATACTCAGAAAAATTTCTTATCTTCCGAAGATTTTTTCAAGCACTATAAACAAAGAAATTGCTTTAAATCAAAATGGAAATACGAATGAAGACATTATGCATTTTCTCCATTTTTCCCTACTTCAAAGGCAAAAAGTCACTGCAAGTGTCAGAAAGTAATAAAACCAGTAACAGAAAGTTGACTTCAGCAGATAGACAAAGGACAAATCCTACCTAAAACCAAAAAGAAAACAACTAAATTCCACCTCAAATTCTGGGAAATGGTGACATCTCTCACGTGCTCTTATTCACAGCCAATTTTGCTGCAAATATGTTTGTCCCTTCACAACTGTGTATCTTCTGCTGTGTCACTCTGAACCCTCTTAGTGCCTCTGGCACAGCAGATCTACCCAGACATCAAGTTTTGTAACAACCCAGCTGATAAGGTAGGAATTTCCAGACTTGCCAGTCTGAGGCCCTGAAATGTGAAATGTATTTCAAAACTCTGACCTGTATGTGGTATTTGGAACGTAGACATCCCTGGCAGGAAACTCCAGGATTTCTCTTGTAGGTCTGACTCTGCTGTCTGGGTAAAGCTTGACTTGCAGCAGTTCTGGAGTGAGACAGTAGTGGGGGTTCTCTGGGGCTGGAGATATGTCTATCTTTAATTGAGCTGTAAGAAGAAAATTATTTTATTACAATAAACAGAAATTACTTTGAACCAAAAAAAGCATAATCATGCTTTCCTTCTTCAGATTAATATACTACATATTAATTCAATAAATAAACAAATGATAAATTACAGCCAATGTGGATTTGTTAAGAACAAATATCAGTGAGTCAAACTAATATCTAGAGCAACTGGGGGACCAGACAACAAGAACCAACAGAAAATAGGTATCATAACAAGTCACAGATGATTTTTTTCATAGGTAAACTGGGGAAATACTGAGTAGATAATGCTCCTGTGAGGCCCAACTATTCCTACAAATGGAGGAAGGTTATTGAGGAAGGACTGAAGAACCCTGGGACCTGTGAGGCTACAAAACAGAAGTGAACAGGGTAAACTAATAATGGTATTCAAGTGCTTGAAAGGTTGTGATCACTGCCCTGAGGCCATGGCAGACCACAATCACCTTTATTTGCAGCAAGTTATTTTGCCAAGTTTTCTTAATGCCTAACCTGAGTGCAAGGACAGCTGAGTGCTGGGGAGATGATCCAAGGAAGCAGCAGGATTGCTGTCACTGGAGATTTTTAAGAACAGGTTAAGCAAATATTGCCAGGAATAGCACAGGTCAGGGACCAGTTTCACTGCTGGTGTGCAAGTGTTTCTGTTTCCCTTTCTCAAACAAAGGTGGAGTCTGTTCCTATTAACCCAGGAGAGGGATCTCCTCCTGGATAGAGAGTGGAAAACAGGGTTCCTCAGTCCCTGCTGGGTTTTGGGCACTGGGATTTGCATCCTCTTCTCACAAATATTACTCTCAGTGTGACAGGAGCTGCATGTGCACCTGTACCAGTGTTCTTGGGTGAGAACACCCAAGAACTGAGGGTAGTTGGGAAAGATTAACCAAATACCTTAACATGTGACCCAAAAAGACCCCCTTTGATACCTGTGATGGGTCTCAATCTCCGTAGCACCGATGACGGGCGTCTCATGTCAGCCAGGAACTTGTACAGATCCTCATCACTCAGGCGATCCCCCTCCTGTTGGGGTAGGAAGAATTTGGTTATCTGAACAACCCATCAGAACGGCCAGAGAGTGAATAAACCATCTCACACTACACTTTCTTTCCTCTGACATCAAAATGTACCTTCCCAGAACAAGGTGTTAACATTAACATGTTAAATTACACTTCATTTCTCCATCCTTTTCCCTTCCTTTATCCCTTATTAATCATCATGACAGCTACAGGGACTTTTAATTGAAAACCTTTTCTCTCCCCATCAATATTATCTTTTTCAAAACTGAAAATGGCTGTTAAAAGATTTCCCCAAAAGTATCCATTTTTTTAGAAAGTATAATAGTTTGAAAAAGTATCTGTCATTCAGGTAGTGAGCCTCATTCCTTCTCCTCTGCCCTTCCTTTGGGGTGAGTCTAAATGAGCCTTACTTTCCAGGAGAACTGTTAAGAAACAGAGGGAAGTGGAAGGAGTGTAGTCAGACTTCCTTGTACCATATTCTAGTAGCTCAGAGCTTTGTTAATTTTGCAAACACTACAGAAAATGTGGCTCTGCCACCCTTTAACTATCCCAGAGCAGAAGCTATCTGCTAATAAAGGTAATAAATCACAATATGAGAAAAAAGGCAAGTGGAAGGATAAAAACACTGGGTAGTATTCAACTAATTAGACTTAAGAAAAAGAAGATAAGAATCAGAAATTTAAAATCTTAATTTTTGGCAGTTTTTAAAGGGCATATTAATAAAGCAAACTGTTCCAAAGCTGTCAAGAGAAAACAACCTCAACAAAGTAAATAAATATATGTTTTTTAAATCAGGTCAGGGGAAAGGCTGCACTAGCAACTCTGTAATGCGCTTTTTTTGCCTTATTTTTTTTCATTGCAGAACTGGATTTTATTAATCCCCCAAGGAAAAGGAGCTTCCAGTGCTGTTCTGTCACTGACACAGAGCCCTGTTTCACTCCTACTGAGTTTCACAGACACAGAGAGCAGCAGAGGCAGGAGCCACCCTCACGTGCTCTGCAGCAGTATGACCTGATGCCCCTGATGACATTTCTCCTTATCATTACTGTATTTAAGACCAGACTTTGGATGGCTCCCCACAGTGCAAGTGGCACATAACCAAAACAATCAGGGAAAAAAAGGAGGAAAAAAGCCAACTTTCAATGGATAGAACCCAAATCTTTGTTTTCTCAACGAGCAAGAAATCAGACCAAAAAATATCTGCTTGGTCACTGTAAAATCTGGTTTAATACACAAAGGTGACACTGAAATAAAAAGTTTTCTTAACAAGATGTGGCACTAAGCAAATCTTAGAAAACAGTTTCAGCTCATTACTTTTTGTTAAGTTTAACTAAAAATTTTATTCCATTTAATCATGTTTTCTGCCTCTTTTTGGGACATTCCCAAGCTCTGGCTAAGAACAGCTGCCATTCAGCAAAGCAGCATCAGAAGCAGAATACTTTGGTTTCTCAGGAATCCCTGGACGTGTCCAGGGAACTGATGCCACCTTCAAATCACATTGAGGAACCTGGTTCTGAGCCTGCTGATGTTTCAATCACCCAGTGAAACCAAAGGGATCAACTGACCATCACAGAATGGTTTGCATTGGAAAGGACTTTACAGCCCATCTCGTTCCACCCCCTGCCATGGGCTGGGACACCTTCCACTAGACCAGGTTGCTCCAAGCCCCATTCAGCCAGTGACTTTTCCAATGCATGCTAAAAAAATCTGGAGCAAGAAAAAGTGATGTTCTTCTGTGAAGACCCAGCTCTGTTAAGTGGAGTGGTTAAGTCACTAAGCCGTAACGATGCTTTAGCATTCAAGTCAAAAGCAGCCAATAATTTCAAGTTCCACAACATAATTATTCACAAATTAATGAAAGAATCCACCACTGGCAGAATACATGATATACTATTATATAACTGGAAGAGAGCAGGCTACTGGCCAGAAATATTTGTGAGGGTAACGAGGCCCAGAGAAGCTGTGGCTGCCCCATCCCTGGAAGTGTCCAAGGCCAGGTTGGATGGGGTTGGAGCAACCTGGGCTAGTGGAAGGTGTCCCTGCCCATGGCAGGGGTTGGAACGAGATGAGCTTTAAGGCTCCTTCAATACAAACCATTCTGTGATTAATAGATGATATAATAAACCCACTGTATGCTGTTCATGATCCCCCTGTGATCAGGGAAATATCACAAGCATCACAAATAAATCATTCAGGTCTAAAGTGACTTCACATGATCAAACCCCTCTGTCCAAAGAACAACTCCTTAATCAGACAGCTTCATATCATACCTGTTTGAAGAAGTTTGTCACTGTCAGAGTAGCTGGTCTAAAACTGGTCAGATTGCAAGCCTCATCCCCACTCGTGGTTCTCTCCAAGGAACGCCTCCCGACAATACTGGAATTCCTCCTCTCCGACCACGATCCTTTACGTTCTGCAAAAAATAAACATAAAAAGGGGAAAAAAATTAAAAGAGAAAGGAAAACAATAGTCCAAGAGCCTAATTCTGTTCCAGCCAGGATTTCCTCCACAAGAGGATTGACAATGATGCCATGAGGGTGACAGAAGAGGTGGTTATGCTCAAGCAATCCCACTCCAGAAGCTGTGAAGCACAGCTGACTCCTGCTTCTCTCACAGCAACCTCACCCCAGTGCCTTACTGCTATTATAAAAGTCTTTATCACGCTGAGATTTATGTATTTCTCTTGCTCTGAAAGATGATGAAGTTGGCAGTTTTGGGGATGCTGAAGAGCAGTTTCAGATGAGCTATGTGGCTCACAAAGATTAATCCACTCCTTTGGAAAATGTTCATCAGCCTGGAACACTCTCTCGGTCTTAGAAGCTTGGTTTTAAATAATATAACAGATGGTTTGCTTGTAAAATCCTTGAAAGATAAATCCATTTGTTATCATGGACTTCTCTGTTTTAGTTCAACCATGACCCCAGACTATCAGAAGGCCCAGGGCGGGGGGGAAAGCGATAAAAGGAGCAACAGCAGCTACAGGGTATGAATCAAGACTTCAATAAACTCTGGACTTGCCCACATTCCCTCATGCAGGTGCCAAGGACTGTACCTCCTGTGCCAACTTCAACTTCCGTGGAATCTCTTTCCAAGCTCCCAGCACTGCTCACGATGTTCATCAGGTGAATGGCTGTCCAGGCAAAAGGCATCCGATACTTGCCGAGTCTCTGGCAAAACTGCTCTGCCTGGCCTTTCAATTTTTCCAACTTTTCCTTATTCTGTGAAGGAAATAATTCAATCCAAGAGATTAAAAAGAGAGGAACAGGAACAAAGGTTCATTTAGCAAAATAAGTGAGGAACGATGGTGTCTTTTCTAACACCCAATGACTGTTTCAGTAGCACCTTCTAGAGGAGGATCACCAGGTGTTGTGGAAATGCAACTTCTGCTTTCCAAAACTGCCCTCAGGCCACCAGAGACAGGACAGTCTGACAGTCAGAGCAGCTGTTTCATGCTTTCAACCCTTCTGAACAGCCTGTCAAACCTCAGTGACCTCATCTGCCCACTGCTCCTTCAAAAACATCTGAATTTTCCTCTGTGAAGTCTGAAATGGCCTTTCCTAATGTCAATTTATGCAGAAGGTGCTCAGATCATCTAGAGTTGCATGGGGAACTCAAAACATTGCTCAAATAAGTAGTACCATACTTTGTTGAGGAAAAAAGGGAGTAAAAGAAGATTTTTCCATAATTCTGTATATTGCTCTTCAGCAATTTTTTGCTTTAGAAAGGTTGTTACCTACAAGGCTTTAAGAAAACCTCAGACAGGGATTGGGTAACAACAGAGAAGGAGCTGCTGCTCTAGTTCAGGACATGCTTATGCACTTTGAAAGAGATGCTGAAAATTATCTTTTCAGCTATATTCCCAAGCATCCTGCAAATCCAGTTCCAAAATTTCACTTGGGAACACAGGAAACTGAGTTTTTTCACTTTTGTTCTCTATACAACTGAGGTGAAAAACATTTATTTTTCATATTGTGGTACAGTGATATAAAGACAGATGCAGACAAAAAAACATAAACTTCTTCACCTAAAATATATCAGAACCTTGGGAAGGAAATATTTTATTAAGAATTTGGTTAAAACTAACAAATGAACATCCCAGCTCCTTTGAAAAAGCACAATGGAAAGGCTCTGATGGCAAGGGCTATAACCTCTGGTTTGCCCTTCAGCCAGTCCTCACTGCTACCCTTTGATCTTCACTTGGATCAACCCAACTGTACACAAAACCAGGAACCAATTTTGAGACTCTTTTATAACCCTTCCAGAGAAAGACAGAAGTGATGGGGTTAAGCTGCAGAAGCAGTGGAAAAGTTGGAAATTTTGCTGCAGATTCCCATCCAAGGCTGCCTTGCTTTGACCCAGCTGTAAGCACAGAGCTGATCCTTTGGGATAGGGAATCACAGATGACTGAGCTTGATGGGAACCATACATCTCCCCTGCCAGCCACAAAAACTGGTGACCTTTAACTACTCTACCCCAATAAGGCATCAAGATCCAAAGGTCTTTGACTCTTCTTTGGCTTTTAGAATAGGATTAGTTTCTTAATTAAAAATTGATCCTCTTAAAGGCAGGAACAGTATCAATGGCTGTTAAGTCCAAGGTAAAAGAAAATCCCTAATTTTAATAACAAAATAGTTATTACGTGCTTGTAACAAATTTAATCAAAACAATTCTTACCTTTGCTGCATCAGATTCTTTAAAAATCATATAAGGCTCTGCACACTCCCCAATATCTCCCTGCTGTAATACTTTTTCCAGCTGAGAAGGGAAAATAAACCATTATAAGGACAGGTATCCAGCAAGGATTGTTACATTAAACAAACACTGGGAAGCAAAAACATTCTTTCACAAGAGTTAAAGCTTGATTTCCCTTTGCAAGTCAGGGAACAAGCACTGTTAGTTGTTAAAACCATTAAGTTCCCAGATTTCCAGCTATAACTGAATCACAAGTGTAAAATATAGGTACAAAGGGAACATATAGAAGTTTGTGTTTGAGCTGTTCTAGAGCCACTTTGGGCTCATTTCTAAGGTTTTAAGGACAGCTTACACTATCTTCAGCATCATCACTTTCAGAGTTCTGTTCTTATTTCTGTTCTCCTTAATAAGGTCCTGCTTCATTTGGATGGACCCAGAGAAAACAAGTATTATTTTAAATCAGATAAAAGTATCAAATAATGAAATCAAAAATTAATCAATTCAAACAACTGAAGTTAGCCACAGATTCTATGTTTGCTGCTCAAGTCTCTGAGTAACAAACTACTTAACACTCAGTTCCTGAAAGAAACTCCCCTCTCACATGCCTGAAGACTGTTACTCTCCAAACCATCCTGGCACTTCCCCACACCCTGCACCACTCTGCACATGCTGTTATGAGCTCAGAATATCTCTGAACTTCTCCCATGTGCCATTCACACCTCTCTGTTAGTAGAACTCCAAGAGACTACCACAAAGTAAGGAACAAAACTGCTTTCCATCAAATCTTGCATTCTCTGCTGAGTTTACCAGTAATTCCAGTTGTCTGAAAAGTGATTTCCCAGTAAGACCCATGTGAAAATTCACCCACTAAGGCACACAATGCATCTGTCTTATCTATCCCTGATTATATTACTTCCATCATCAAATCAAAAAACCACCTAAGCCACAGCTCCTCTTGGATCACTGGTTTTACAAGCACTAATGTGCATTCAGAAGCTCTCTTGGCCAGATCCTCACAAATATGGGATTCTCCCTCATATCTTCTAAAAATCAGAGGAGTGATTCTTCCCTGTGAGGGTGGTGAGGCCCTGGCACAGGTTGCCCAGAGAAGCTGTGGCTGCCCCATCCCTGGAAGTGTCCAAGGCCAGGTTGGACAGGGCTTGGAGCAACCTGGGATAGTGGAAGGTGTCCCTGCCCGTGGCAGGGGGTGGGACTGGATGAGCTTCCAATCCAAACAGTTCTGTGTTTCTGTGACTCCATGAATAACTGTGCACAGGCAGAACAAGATTTTCAGAAGGAATTCAGAAAATCATGCCAAAAATTGGAGATGAGAATATGTTTCAACACTACTGAAAGCCTTACTCTCACCTGGGACTGTTTCTGTCATGTCATGAAGCCTTAAATCATTTTCAAAAGATTATTCCTTGTGCAAGAAGCAGTTCCTGAAGAAGTTGCATGCTGCCTATGAACTGAAAGTATGTACTGAACTCCCCTTTTGACAACAGGATGATTTTTATGAAGAGATCGAGACAAAAAAACCTGACTCAAAAGCCATTCTGAATGAGCAACATTTGTGTGCTCACTGAATCAAATGAAAGACGAGAGAATAACTTTTAGCTTTGTATACTTTATTCCAGGAGTGGCCAATGTTGCATTTTATTTCAGTTATGGATCCCACTCCCTTAGCAATTTCAGTTCTTAAATACATCCGGAAAAATCTGGCTTAAGGGCATGTATCATTTTTTTAAATGAGATTCAGATCAACATGTATTTTTAAATCACTGACTTATCTATCATCTTTAGGAGTCAGCACATCATTTCATAGCAAAACCAAGGTCAAGCCCCAGAAAGCTGATTTATATCATCAAGCAAACCTTTGTGCTCTTCTCAGTTTCAATGCACATCTCCACTGAACTGCTGCTGTTAAAAAGGAACGTAAGTGAGAATATCTGAGATGAAGTAGAACTGTGGTGCCACTGTTTACACTACTGAGAACAGTAAATAAATAAATCAACTGGTCAGCCAGGCCTGCTTCTATTTTATTTGAAAGAAAAAACAAGAGTCAATTTAAACCATTTAAATTTCTCTGGCATTTCTTACCTTTATTACTAGAAAGACATCTTGAGAGGGGTAAGTGATAGAAAATATGGCAGACCTGGCCAGCGTGGATATAGCAGCAGGGGGGACGTGAGGTCGAAGCATTCCCTTCATTTGTTCAGAATTTAAATCAAAGTAGAAATTCTCTGAAATCTAAGAAAGAAATTGGGGAGCTTCAACCACTAGTTATACTTTTTTTTTTTTTTTGTAAATTCTTCATGAACACAACAGTTTTAAAACACACATTAAAAAGTCCTCCTTTTAAACCATGCATTAAAAGAAGAAAAATAGTATTTTTAATTAAGAAATCAAGGCAGGATAGTGGAAAAGGAGAACGAAAATGGAGCACACAACACAAACTACCTATAAAATTTCCTTCAGTTCCTGTAAGGAATGTAGTTCCATCACAGGACTAAGAATATCATTGTTATCTGAATTGAAAATACCAAAATATCAAAATAGAAACAGAAAGACAAAAAAAACAACATATCTTTAAAGACAGATAGTGAGTTTTCTACACTATAACATCTAATCCTCAACTGCATCAAGGCTTAAAAGCCTAAAAGGATGTGAGCTGGTTATCAACACCAGAGGTCACTAAAGAACTTACTACTTAGAGCAAAAAAATGGGAGTAATGAGATGATAAAATTGGCTTATGAAATGTGATTTAAATATTAAACAAAGTTCACATAATATTCCACATACTCTCATCTACATAACTTAAATCTCAATGCATTAAATTCAGGTCTTAAAGAGATAAATGTCAAAATGCATATTTTTAACATTTTTCTCTCCACTACTGCTAATATCTTGAATAAGGAAAACCAAGAGACTCTTTAAATATTAAATACAGAACATAAATAGCCGAATAAATGTATTTTGCATTTCCAATAACTTAGATCTTGAAAGGACTCCTCAGTTTTGTTTAGATTTTAGCAATTTTAGCATGTAAGACTTTCTTGTGCATTATTCAAGTGTTACTTGACCCACACTATGGTGAGTCACGAAAAAGAGATTAAGAAAGTCATAAAAACTTAATCTAAATAGAAGGTTTCAGTTACCTAAGTGGAGAAGAGACTTTTGAAAGCCAAAATTGGACTACATATATATATATATAGATAGATATTCTGATTTCAGGCACTCACATATTAGATAATATTTTTAGAAAAGTGGTTATACTTCAACTGCTTTACTAAGCAGAAGAAGAACACACAAGATGGCTCATGAAATGCCTTCATCATTCTTCCAAGCACCAGTATGTCACTGAGTTTCTTTCCAGCATTAATTCCTCCCTTTTTGTTTTTAATACAGGTTTGTAAAGCTTCAGTGGCAATGTCATCACTCAAATAATTAAAAAACATACCTTTTTCTTTTCTTTAACGTCATATAAAGCCAAGCTTGCAAAAATGGGCTCAATTTCTATTTCAAATCTTGAAAGAAAAGAAACGTAAAATCAGTTGACTTGCATTTTGTAACAAAGAATGACCAATCCCCTCCCCAAATCCTTCCTAGCTGATGGTGACCGAGATGTCAGGAACAGCTGAGCCATCCATTTTCAGGTCCTGCTGAAAAGGGATCTTGATCCCAAATAACCACCCCACTCCTGTCCTGCTCCCTCTGCATCGCTGCTGATCCCTTCCAACAGGACCACATCGGTGCTCCCTTGACCTTCTAAAAGCCTTTTCAACTCACTGACTCGCTGAAAGCCAAGCAAAGCCACCTAATAGCTTCCTTAAAGGGAGCTATTCCTTATTAACTGGAATAACTGGGCCACTTAGCTCCTCTGATTCTCTGGGAAGCTGCCCCATGTGCTAATTCAGTCTGCTGACCTGTTGAGAGTGCTAAATGGCCAACTGGCTCCTGCCTCTGGACAGTCAGGGATGGGTATTTTGGCAATTTTCAACACTTAACTGTTGTCAGAAAATACCAAGGTCTCACAAACTCTCTCAGAAAGGCACTCAGAAAGCTTTTTGGAGTAATTGTTATCTAGTATTCACGCGAACTCAAACATTTCCTACAAGAACAGTAATTACCAAATAGAGCTGAACTTATTCTTGGATCACCCAGGCATCTCCAGTCCCCACAAAACTAACGCCCAATCCACGCTGGGATCCCCCACGCATCGGGCCTTGCACAGAGCTCTCAGCTTTTCAGCCTGGAATTTGTACTTCCAACAGGGAGAACACCACACAGGACTGCACCATCAAACAGGTGTTGTCTCTAGTTTCACAACAAAGGTGAGATTAACCTGAAAATGACCCTGCTTAGGTCACCTTAGCCTTCTCCCGGGGGAAAATACGCTTGTTTTTGTGCCACTGAGGTGCCATAACCTTGGATGCTTGGATTACACCGGTGAGTACAGGTTCAGAGACTACTATGGTGCACAAACAAGTAGATTTGCCATAAATTTACAGTCAGCAAGAGATGTTTAAATAGTAGAAAACACTAATTTCCAGTATCTAACTTATTTATGCCAAAGACACCATCCTTTGGACAGGAAGCTCCACTGCTACTGCATATTATGTTGTTCCAGTTCATAAAAGGCTGCAAAATCAGTTCATCTCTACGGCTATATTAGGTCCTGGAGTACTCTACGAGCAGGAGATATGTCCCACACATATATCTCAGTTATGAGCAGCAATGTAGGCTAACTGGAGCTCTCTAATAAGAAGGGTTGACCTAACTGAGGACACAGAAGATGAATACAGCAGTGTGGAAAATCAGTTTTGTACTTTATTTCTCCAAGGGAATAACAGTAAAATTTTACCTTGTGTTATTAGAGAAGAGTTATAGGCAATGAACCAGCTGCAGGTAACCCTATATTCAGGAGCTCCACTTCATTAAACTTGTTTAACAGGTTTCTATTCCTCCAGTTAATGCTTACTAAGTATATAAAGTCTTCACTCTTAAAGGGACACAGTCAAGGTTGTTGAGCCTAAACTTTGGCAAATCTTTGGCTGTCTTATGCTTTAAAGCTTAAGCATTTTTAATCTTTGTCTCTTTTGTTTTCCCTCTTAAATTTCCTTGTTAGGGAGCTGAAAACCAGTGACTGGCCAACCTCAGAGCCCTGAATGAGTATGTTGAAGCCCAATGACAAGGAACAGGTAGAGTTGGATAACAACAAGGAGAAAAGCCAAGGGAGGTGAATATTTTCTCTGTCACACGAATAAGCAGAAAGTCTTGAAGATACACCTGTCTGATGCACAACACTGTGTCACTCAACCTTTAGAAAATTAACCTTTAAGCCTATGACCAAACATGAGTTTCAAGGGTAATAAACACAGCAATGGAGTTTTCCAGATGCACATGGATACAACAGCAGATTTAAATTCTCAATTCCTGCAATGCAGCTCTCTTTTGGAATGATACTTACTTAAGGGACAAACACTTTACCAAGAGTCTTTGGCCAAAGTGCTCTTTGGGTACTTCAGGGACACTAAGGCGTTCTATAGGCTCCTCCTGAAATTAGAGACATGGCACTTGTACAAACCTCTGACAGCATTACAAAGCAAACATATGTATCACTTTTTTCTTCTGAGACACAAGCACCAATTTAATTCGAGGCTTCCCAGCATGTTGCATTCATCAGCAGCTATAAATATGCTAAATTAAATCCCTTAATGTTCCTACATTACTGGGGATTGTATAACCATGAAGGAAAACCAATCCTCAGAAAGTAATATCCACGGCAAGACACTATGCTAAAAGACACAAGACCCACAAAACAGCTACAGTTCTCATGGATATCAAACACAGGTGATCTTAAATCCTTTAAATCCACGGCAGACTGCCAGCTTTCACATTCCCTATATCCTTCACTTTTTTGGCCTCACCCACACGTATACAAAAATACCTCGTCTGGTGCTGGGTGTAGTGCAAAAAGCTCCTTGTGCCTATTGGACTTCCTCTGGTCCTCGTTGTGGTGGTCAATCTCCTCGTTCGGGGTTCGGTCCAGTAAGTTTGGGAGAAGGGCATCTGGAAGGGAGTTCTTCAGATCAAAAATACTGCAGGCCCAGCTGCCCCGGGGAGTGTCATCAATCGACATTGAGCGTCGCTTAAGGTCATCCTGAGATCCAACAAATTAAAGCAACTTATAATGGGAAAAGGAACTGCACTTTTAAAACAGGACTATAAATTAGGTTTTATGTGGCAAGGTTTTAAAGGCACATTACTTGTTCATCCTGGTAACTGTTGCCATCCGGAGCTTCATCAGACTCAAAGATCTGCTTGGGGAGCCCCTTTTGCCTCTCCTTCTGTTTGTCTAAGGTGTTGGGATTGAATCCAGTTCCCAGCTTGTGGTATCTGCAAACAAAGTATTTCAAATGCGTTCTTAGCAGCCCTTTTGACCCCAACCCCAGAAGCAGAATCACAGAACAAACCCGGTATTATCAGTGTGGGTGCTCTCAAGGCATAAGCTGCTCTCTGCAAACACTATTTCCAGTCAGCCTCCACTGGAGCTGGGTCATAATCCAACCACCAACTACAATGTGACTCTGTTCATCTATAAAGCAACCCTGGGTGATGTCAAAAGAAGGACTATCAATGGCCAATTAAAGTCATCATAAAATGTGCAATTGTGATGCCAAGAGTAGAACAGGCCAAGAACACGAGGACTGAAGGCCAGTGGTTCTGCCGCAGCAAGAACTGACAATATTGGTACCTTGAAAACCACAACACCAGCTCAGGTAAGTCCTGAACACCTCTGGAGAACCGGCAACTTTCCAACCTCAACTAAAACAAGCATCTTCCCAGAGAATCTTTGTAAGGAAATCGGGTCCTTCGGAGCTTTCCAGGGTGTAAGAGCACTTGGTAGTAAACAATCTGTCTGCTGCTGCTGACAACATGGGATCTCTTTGACTAACAAATCTGTGGGTACTAAATGGCACCATGTCTGTACTTATACACACACACACAGAGCCATGGTCTCCTTACAGTACTCACTGAAGTCAGCTCCCAAAGTAGTGCTGGGGTCACATCTACAATGAATTGTTTCTACCGTGTCCTGTCACTAAATCTAGCACAGAAGGATGCACAGAGGTGTGAAAACCATGGATGTGCTAGAAGTGAATAACAAAAGGCAGAAGAAAAATGAGGAATGCATTTTCCTTCCTAGGCTGTAATTCCTGAGAGTTGAACAATAGGATCTGTATAATCCTCACCTGGATGTCTGCATTTCCATCACACCTCCACCAACAAGTGTAAATCCATTCTAAATCACACCTGACTTCCTCAGTCTAGCACATAGAAATTATGCTGCAATGTCGAAATCACAATATGCTGTTGGGTTTTTTTTACAGACCAGTGAAGAGAACTTATTTATCTTTTCCAATATCACTAAAGAAATTACTGAATGGAGGATTTGCCTGCCCCAAAAACAATTTGGTTACAAAGAACTGTAGACAGAGACTGACATAAAGATTATTTCCCCTGCCATGGGGAAGAGGAGGATGGAATGTCACAAGTCATGTTCTCCTAAAGCCAGAAGAGCTGGATTTTGTGCCCCCAGAGCTAGCCAAGGCACTTGGAACCATCCAGCAGGATGGATTATGAGGAAACTGTTGGCATCCTTACTTGGAAAACAATTCAGTACTTCCCAGCCAGGCTTTTGGGTTCTTCCCCTGCTGCAGCAGTAACTCCTTTATTTCTACCCAGTCCATTGCCACGATTTCATCCAAGCAAAAACTGCTATGAATATTTATGGCAGCACCCTCTCTCCTCTGAAGGGGCAAGACAACCTTTGACTGGAGTTCCACAATTGCTCATCACACCTTCAACCATGGAGGTCTTCAGCTTCATCCCCTCCCTGACACAGAGCACAACCTGCAGCCCATCTCAGAAGACAAAAAGCCTCCAACTAAACCTCCTCAGTGCAGGAATCACAGGCAGGAATGCCAGGTACAATGAAAGTTGCTGAGAAATCAGGAGTGCCAGGTCTATGGTGTATTCCAGACTCTGCTGGAAAAGCTGGGAGTTAATAAACAATCTCCTTCCCTCTTGTTTTTTTGTGTTGTTGTTTTTGGTTTTTATCCTTTTTCTGGGTAGGGTTTTTTTTTGGTATGAGATTACAAACCACGTTTTTATTAGGTCACGTTAGCAGTGCAAAGCATATCTTCAGCATCCCCTCAAGTGGTTCTCAGGACAACATTAAACCAGTGAATTGTAGCAACTGCCACAAGGGCAGAGCTGTAGCTGCAGTGGAGTCATTTGTAGGTGATACACATCACATGGATCACTTACTCCTTGACAGCAGCTCTTGAAGTCATCAGACTTCCAATCATCCGAGAGACTCTGTGTTCCAAGGAAAGCCACTCAGAAACCTTCCTGCTGATTTGCATGAAATAATCAATGCGTGCACATTCTCTAAACTGTGAGCTCATTAGATAAATGTTGTGATGGTTCAAATATTAACGATTATTTGTTTAAATTAAGCACGTTTCCAAAGTCTCTTTGGAAATCAATGAAAGCTGCAGAGGGCACCTTATCTACTAGATGGTTGTGACCGCACATCATAGCAAAATTAATGCAACTTCTCTCTAAAAAGAGCCAAAAACAGATGCAACAAAGAAAGAAACAAGAGCTGAAAGTAATTTGACTTGTTCACATTCCCTAATTTCTCTACCATTGTAAAGGAGCAACTGTAGACTAAAATGGCCTAGATTTTCCAAAATGCCCCAGGGGATTTTGACGTCTAAGATCCAATTTTCAAAACACAAAGCATCATTTCAGCTAAACACAAAGTATCAGTTCAACTAAACGGGGCAACTAAAAGCCAGGGCACATGGAATCAGTAGCCAGGACAGTAATTTTTGAACCTCCTCATAGCAGTTAGTCAACCTGCAAAAATGTAAATATGAAATGAAGCTGCAAATACCACAGGGGAACTCACTTTCTGTTCACAATCGCCCAGTCTTCCGTGTAACTTCTGACACAGTCCCTCACGTGAGGGTCCATCTCACTGTTAAAAGAATAAAATCACAAATTACAACTATACATTATGACGACTTCTTAAACATATATACTTCTACTTAGGTTTGTGTTTAACTTTCCAGACATTTGCAGCCCAAAATTCCAGGTTTCAGCCCTGCGGACACTCCTTGCAGAGGAATCAGTTCCTTACCTCTCCTCGGGCACGGCCGACACGAGTGTCCGGCATTCCCGGGGGGTGTAAACCACCTCGATGTCATCGGGGGGGAACTCCAGCAGGTCCCTCAGGGGTCCCGACTCCACGGCGAGCGGGTGGGTGATGAGATAGTCCTCCAGGTCCACGGGGTCCACAGCTTCTGTGAGCGGCACCTGGGGACACACAAGCCATGGGAGGGTCTGAAATCGAGGTGAAACAATAAAGAAAAATCACATGCACATCTTCTACTCTGCTTTTTTTAAACCAGTTCTTCTGCCTGGTTGAGGAATTTGATGCAACAGTCAGGTGGTGATTAACACCAGTGGTGTTAACCTCAGTTAACACACATCACAAAGATGTTTTGCGTGTCTTATCATTTATCTGATGTTCCTCTGCATATTTCTCTGATGCATTATCACCTAAAAAACACAAATAAAGCCAAAAAAGGTTATAGCTATTTTCAAGAAATTCAACAAAACTTAGTACCTCATTTCCCATGTGTATGAACCCTGGATTTGTTTTGACCATACTCTGATCACAAAGTGAACCTTGACCCTGATCCAAGATGCAGGAACCTTCTCCCTCAGGCACAGCTAGGAATTCAGACCAAGGCCTGATTTACCAGGAACTCAGGTGGCCACAGAACTCTAACATTATTTTGAATTAAACCACTTCTCCAGGGAACACAAAACACAAGGTTCATCTCCCACAGGTAGAAGTTTAAGGTCCTCCCTCATATCAGAGCCTTTAGTGGCACAAGGAGTCTGCCCATGCCGAGAGGGGACAACACTCTAAATAAAATGGATACTTAAATATCATCTTTACTGGGCACAAAGCCTGTACCTGAAGCACAAGGAATGAATGATCATGTGCAGGAAAACAGTAGATTTCAGGGCAGGCTGATCTCACCATCCTGAGCTTTTTTTAGATACATGAAAAGAAAATTTGCATGAACTGGAAGCATACTCACATTGCATAACTTGTATTTTTACATATGTACATTATATAAATACATGTATATATTCTGATATGAGATCATTATGCTATGAAGCAATACATAAACATAGACATTAAGAAAATGAAACACTAAAAACAAGTTTTAAGGAACCTGTCTCTACAGCAACTGACAGATTTCCCTAGAATTCCCTGGCACATGCCAGTGAGGCTGAGTGGTTTAACAAGAATCACAAAAACACATCAAAATTCAGCAGTTTTTCTTTTCTAACTTCCTCTTTCCTGTCATCCAGATGATTTCTGTGGGACAGGGAACTATCCTGTAGCCTGTCTTGTGTTGATGACTTTAAAAAGAACATTTAGTACTTCAGTTTTAAATGTGCTTCTAAGAAAAACTGCTATACAAATCCCAAATTCCAGTTTTAAAATTATTGCCACGAAGTTCTAAAACGAATCAATGTTTTATTCAAGGAGAAGACTTGGCTAACACAGAGGGTGTTAAAGGAATCTCCCTACCACAACCACCCTCAATGAATCCCATTTCCTTGCAACTCAGAAGGCAAATCCTTCAACAAAAAAACAGAGTGACTCCAAGGAAGTCAGGTGAGTTGGACCAATGACTTTATGCCAGATAAGAATCTGGTTCATCAAAAAAATACAATGTCTAGAAACTTAGCACTTGTTTCTGCCATTTAGGTAAATGATATAAATTCATTTCCGTGTAAAGAAATGCATCATCCCTGAAGGGTTGGAAAGGACCTTAAAGACCACTCTGGTTCCAAGCTCCTGCCACTGGCAGGAACACCATGCACCTGTGATATGATGTAATATGATGTAATATGATGTAATATGATGTAATCTCATTGTCATCTATTTAACTCTGACCCCACAACCCTTTTTCCCCTTCTAATCCTGAACTCTTGAAATGGATTCAAAATACACGATTTGGAGAGCTTTTGTGAATACAAAACAGATACTTTTCACTGTTTTCATCACTGCAATGCTTGCAATGAGCAGAAGCTGCCATTGCTCCTTCCCACATCGCAGCTGACATGTCACCGCCTCACCCTGTTCCTTACAAACAGACAGACCAGCTCCATTTGGCACAAGATCACTGAGGGGTGACAGTTTATCCTTGAGGAATAACATTTTAAGACTTATTTTCACTCCTCCTGCCGACCTCCCTTCCACGCTGGCAGCTCCAAAGCTGAGGCACCTTCCAAAGCTGAGCTGCCCGTGCAAGTGTTGTGTTTTAATTTGCACAAACTCATTTACCTGTGATTCTCTAACACAGAGGAACCTCTCCCTCACTCCCTCCAATCTTTCCACTCCACTCATCTCAATAAACAGAAGGAAAATAAAAAAGACAAGGAAAAATAACCGGTATTAACGCAGAGCTGAGAGGAACACAAAGGGCCCAACAAACACAGGGCAGGGACTGTCACTGCCAAAAAAACACCATGTTTCCTCATTCCTGGCGTTTCACATCTCAAATTTCACTTGTCCAACACGAGCACTGGACAAGAGATGAATAAACTGGCTATGCTAGTTAAAAATCACAGGATCCAGAAAGGCAGGTAGTGCTTAGGGGCTATCCATGTGCTCCAGGGGTTTCCAAGCCCTTCAACCATCTCAGGATTAGGCCCAAGGTTGCACTTCACAATTTTCCAGTTTGTCTCTTCGGTAACTATTGTACCATGAAGATGTAAACAAACATAAAAGTCAAACCCAGAGGCCCGTGTTAGACTCACCATCTGTGCAGCCAGAAATACTGTCTAGCACCTGAGTAAACAGGCCAAACATAAATTCATGGGTATGAAGAGGAACTACTTGGTGTCAGACTATTGGCACATAAAAGGCAAGCACATTATTTTAGGCTTTGGATATTTGTGGGGGAAGAAGTGATGAAAGAGGAGGAGGAGAAAAGAAGGGTGAATAAATGCACCAAAAGGAAAATGAACCTAAATGGTGTCCCCGTGTGCGAAAGGAACCATGAGAGCTCCTCTCATGGCTCTTGCTGCCGATGGCTTAAGCTTTTCCCTGTCCCGCTTCACGCTCCTAAATCACCCTGAAGGTGTGGATGGGAACAAGGACACACACACAGAGCACACCAGGGTCTATTCCTATGTTACCAAAGCATCAGTCACCTGAAATTGCCACACGAACCCATCAGATGGAACGTGCACACTGAGGGAGTTGGACGAGTTCAGGTAACGACCAGGTTGCCCAGCCTCAACATCCCACTGATGGAGGAGTAGAACCTGCTCTGCCATCTCACCTCTACATCTCCAGCCCAGCTTACCTCCTCGGGAAAACCATGGACAGGCATCCAACAGCTGATTCCCCTGGCCTGTTCCGACCGTGATACTTTGTACAGCTATCTCAGCTATCAAAGAATAGCAAGTCCCCATCAGCTGCACATTAAAAGGTTTCAAATCTGCTGCAGCAGAAATGGGGAACAGCTGAGGAGGATAAAGCTGTGCTCTCCCACAGCCCTGCTTGCTGGCAGGCTGCAGAAAGCAATCTTCATCCTGCTCCAAGGAAAAGCCTTTTCAGTTCCTCCTGACAGCTCCTAGGAACCAACAGTAGGTGCCTCCTCCACAAAACACAGGCAGTTCTTCTTCACTGGACTTCCAAAGGCAGAAGGACAATTCCAGTCAATTCCAGTCAAGTATTTGCAAATGTGCAGCCCACCTACCACCTGGCTGATCATCCCAGAGTGTTTTGTATTGGAAGGGACTTTAGAGCCCATTTTATTCCACCCCCTGCCATGGGCAGGGACACCTTCCACTATCCCAGGTTGCTCCAAGCTCTGTCCAACCTGGCCTTGGACATTTCCAGGGATGGGGCAGCCACAGCTTCTCTGGGCAACCTGTGCCAGGGCCTCACCACCCTTACAGGGGAGAATTTCTTCCTAATATCTCATCTAAATTTCTCCTTGTTCAGTTCAGAGCTGTTCCTCCTTGTCCTACCACTACCTGCCTATGTAAAAAGCCACCATCCCTCTTTTTTATAAGCCCCCTTTAAGTACTGAAAGGCCTCAATGAGATCTCCCAAATAAACCTACCAGGGAATACTGGAGTGTTACCATAAGAAATCCTTGCCAGGGTGTCTGTTTCTTCCAAGAACAGTTTATTAATATCCTCCAGAAACCACACTGTGCAAAAGTCTTGAACATCTTCCCAACCAGGACTATGGAATAACCTAAATTAATGGCAAATACATGCTAAAAATATGCAAAGAAACCCTGCTCCCAGAACTACTGCTCTTTTAAAATATACTCTTTGATTTTGTGTGGGCTGTAATTACAGATGAAATTTTGGGCAACCTTTCAGACAATTCTTTAGAGATTTGACTTGGTCTTTATCCCATGATGGCACTGCCACTTCACTGAGGGCAAGCATTATTCTGGAGCTATTAAAATGAACAGGACTACACAGGGAGAAAGGGCAGCTCAATATGAATAAGAGGGGCATAACCTGCTCCCTGCCAACATAAACAGTGTTTATCACAATCCTGATAAACTGAAAGTATGGAAGAAATCAAACAGGACTCTCTTGTTCAGACTTACACAGCCCAATTACCCCAAATCAAAACCATCACTTTCAAATAACAATCCTGCAAAGATATGTCCTTAAACTGACCACAGACACGTGTTCCATCAGTTAACTAGGACGCCCCCTGCTTGATTTGGCTTCTACAGACTATTTAATTCACAGTTTCCACAGGTGCACCCGTGTTGTTGTGGTTATGGCTCTCAGCAGTTGCAGTACAAACCTCTAATTCAAAGGTTTACAACTCTCCTGCAATGGGGACACTCAAGCTTTCTTCTTTAAGGTTGTGTTATTCTTCACTGTTACATCCCCTTAAAAGCTGGAAAATAAAATCTTGTTTCCTATCGACTTTGCCCTTCTCCAGACAGCAAACATTGTATTTTGCTGTAGCTTTAGTGCACGTCTCTCTCCTATTTACTGCCTTCTTTTGAACACCTACCTGTATCATCATCGTCACTTACAAAAGAAGCACCTGCATAAATCTGGCAAGAGGGGCAGGAGCCTCTGTGAGGGGATGTGGCGTCGTTCCATGGAGGGTAACACAAACCTCCACTCACCTTGGCCAAGCATCCCACGGACTCACGAGCAAAGGGATAACATGGAGGGAAAGCCACACCCAGAACACCACACTCCAAAGCTCAGGATTATTCCAGCCCACCACAGAA